TAGTGGCCTAGCACTATAATGCTCTACTTTAAAATATATATATGTTTTCAAATAATTCATTTCACACTTTTTGGTTATTACATAACATAACACTCAAATACTAAATAACCTGATATACTAGCATCAATAAGACATCATTAAAAGATCCACCTAGTTGGTGACATTGAGTGATATGTTTAATCTAGATTCTCATTTCTTTAGCAAAATATACTCAAATTTCATCTCTATAAGAAAAAGACAACATTATAATAATGAGGAAGATGATGCTTCCTTAAATCCCCCTCTTCTATCTCTTGAACTCTATAATCCCAAGAATATTATAAACATATATTTACATTTCCTATTATATAATTTGAATTAGTTATGTCAATAAAATTTCTATTTTAAGATCAAATATTTAATAAAATGATGGTCTAAATTATATCCATCATATTTCTTCCTTATGTTGATTAAAAGATCTGCCTAATGACAATTTTTATCAATAAATTTTACTTAATCAGATTCTATAACATATCATGCAATAAATTTTTTTTTTTTTGGATAAGATACAATCATGTCATTCAAATAGTTTTTTTTTTAAAAAATCAAACACTAGCGGACTAAAAATTTCTTTGGTTCCCACTTCATTATCACCACTGCTATTAAATCATACAAAATATATATTTGTCCTACTAGAGGTGCAAATCAGGTAGGGTCAGTTTGATTTAGATCAAATGAATCGAGTATGTTAATTTGATTTCACATTTGATCGAATGCTTCGTTTGAGATAACTTTTTTACTGTTTTTTAAACTGATTTTTTAATACAAAATTTTCTTAAACAAAAAAATTTTGTTCTAAAAAATTATTTTAGATAACAGTAAAAAAACTATCACAAACGAAACAGATCATCTAGTACATGATTAAGGATGATGAGCATAAATATGAACTACTATATATTTGAGAATTAAATAGATATGATCAAATAAGGGAAGAGTCCGAATTTTTTTTTTTGTGGGGATATAATTTGTCAATTTTAAAAGCATTTTCGATTTTTTTTTTATTTTGGCTTGGAATCAGTATTGACGGTTTTAATTTTTTTAATTAGAATTGTTATTATAAAAAGATAGATTATATGATAAAAATGTATGATTAAAAGTGAAGACATTTAATTGCTCCTAAAAAATGCTTGTCAAGCATCGGGTGGTGGAGATTTAAAGCGATGACATTTAGTTAGGTTAAATTTATTTTTAAAAGATTCCAAATCTTCATTTAAGATTTTCTCACTGAAAAGAAAAAAAAAATGGGCCCTAAATGTACTAAAAAAAGGCCTAGTGAGCTAGAGGGGGCATTTGTTGTTAGGGCCCCATATGTGAAATTTTTATTAGGTCCGGACACCTGACGTATCTCTACATCCGGACATCAATAAAATGTCGCCATGTGCTCTTACTCTTTACCGTGCGGCCCGACGACCCGACCCGGATCGGAACCCAATATTGCTATGTATTAGCTTATTTGTACAGACCAGGGTATTGCTAGGTTTTGCTCGGTATTGCTCAGTAACGAGAAATATCATTCTGTCAAGAGCAATACCTAGCAATACCGAGCAATACCTAGCAATACCGAGTAATACCCCGGTTTTGCTAGGTATTGCTAGGTATTGGTCTTGATAGAGCGGTATTTCTCGTTATTGTCAAGCGATACATAGCAATACCGAGCAATACCTTGCAATAGACGAACATAGCAATATCGGGTTTCGGTTCCGGGTTGGGTCGTCAGGTCGCGCGGTAAAGAGTAAGAGCACGTGGCGACATTTTATTGGTGTATGGATGTAGAGCTACGTTAGGTGTCCGGACCTAATAAAAATTCCCCTATGTGGCTCTACCTTGATTATATAAAACATGGAATTATTTATTTTAGAATCAAAATTACATAGAGAGCATTATAATAACTGTGAAATTGAGGACAAATGAGTTAGAGCTACCATCAACATTGAAATAAAATAATAATAATAATTAATTGTTATCCAAGTTATTTGGTCACTATATACATTTCATTTATAGTTTGTATTATTCGTTTAAATTTTAATATTCTAAAATAAAGTCCGATTTGATTCTGAATTTCAAATATTTTTAGGATTAAAATTGAAGTAACTTTGACTAGAATTGAATCCAAATTAGTTCAAATAGATTCTTCCAATATTTTTTTACACCTATACTATGCACTATCTCATGAATAGCTTCTTGCCAAAACCATGAGTTTTTTCCTCAAATATCCCTCTTTCGGGGTGTTTGGCAACACGTCAATTTATGCTAAACCTTATCAAATTCTCTATTTTCCTCTTCTTGTTGTAAATCGTGAATTTATAAAATCCTAGAATTCGACGGATTTATGGGATTTGGCTGAAACACGAAAAGGATAAAGATGGTTACCTTTGCAATGAGTTCCCATTGCAATTTCCGTTTCAACGTGAAGTTTTTGCAACTCTTTCATAACACTACATACGAAGCACACAAAACAGTAACGAAGAAATGGAGAAGATTAAAGACAAACCCTAGAAGGCCTACCATCTAAAATTAGAAATTAATCTAATTTAACTTAATTAATATAATTTAAAATTTAATAGTTAATTAGTTTAATTTAATAATCAGTGATATAATGTTGTTGTTGTTGTTGTTGTTGATATAGTAGTATAATTAAAATAATCTAATTTAGCTTAATTAAAGAATTAATAGGAGTCTAACTAACTAAAAAATTAGTATAATTCTAAGTGTTTAATGAACTAATGAAATGACACCGCTTCTCTTCGTCATGCTTCCGATACTGCTTTGCTACAAACTTTTGTAAATCTGAAGTTTTGTTCAGATCACGAATAGACTTTGATGCTATTGCTGTGAAAGAAATTCGCTTATAAAGATCTTCTATTAATGCTCTGTGGGCCTTTTGATTTTTTTTAAGGGTGGAAAGTTTTATGTGTCGATGCATAAATTTGATGTAAATGTCTAAAAGAAACTCACTTAAAACGCAGCTTTTTCGGTACAAATTTTTTTTAAAGCAATATAAAAATTATAATTATGAACTGTAAAAATAAAACAATAAAAAAAGTATTCAAAACAAAGCCGAAATTAATTGACACCCATTGATTGCTTGAACTTAGTAATCACATTAAAAAAAAAAAAAAGAAGTTTTTAAAATTAAATTTAGCAATCATATTTAAAAAAGATGAAGCATGTTAAATTAACTAGGTGATTTTATCATTTGACATCATATTTATATCAAATTTTACAAAATCTTCTCAAAACTCTTAAAAGTTTTGGCTTTAATTTCAAATACAATTGAACATAAAATAGAGGTGTTAACGGATCGGGTTCGGGTTGAATCCGACATTGATCTGTTTCTGTTTGACTCGACTCAAACCCAACAAATCGGGTTTCAGGATCAACACGAAAACACAGTGCGAGTCTCTCCCATCATCGTCGTAAGTTCGTTACTTTCGATCCAACCACAAAACTGCGAGCATGGATCACCCTCCCATCTTCGTCGTTACTTCCGATCCAACTGCAGAACAACGAGTCCCTCCCATCGTCGTCATTAGTTAGTTACTTCCGATCCAACTGCAAAATGGCGAGTCCCTGCCATTGTCGTCGTTAATTCATTACTTCCGATCAAACTGCAGAACATAGAGCTCCCTCCCGTCGTCGTTACTTTCGATCCAACTGCAGAATAGCAAGCTCCCTCTCGTCATCGTCGTTAATTTCGAGCTGTCTAGCCTTCCAACCCGAAAAGAAGGAATGTCGTTGAAGGAGGTGAATGCGGGAAGCAGGTGGAATACGCCTGCGTGAGAAGAGGAAAAAGCAATTCCTAGGCTTACAGGAGCAACATGACTATGCCTGCACGAGTGCAGGAGGACTGGCGGAGGCCCGGATCTAGAACTAGGTCAGATCTGGGTCAACTTCAGGTTAGCGGGTTGACTTGAACCTGACCCGATTTTTCAAATAAGTCGAATTTTGGAACTCAAACCCAACCCATTTGCCAAACGGGTTGACCTTAACCCACATTTTTTGGATCGGATTTTTACGTCGAGTCAAATTTTGACACTCTTAACATAAAGTAATCATTTTTTAAAACTTCTTTTTTTTTTTTTTATTTACAAGCAAATAAATGGGAGAAAAAAATTGCATCAGCATATTATCATGAATAGACTATAAATAATGAGATTACTGGCCAATTGAAAACAATAATCAGAATATCCTCACCAAAATTTTGGTAGCCTAAGTTGAAATTATTTCCTTACCCTCCAAATCCATCAAAGAATTTAATTTCATCTATAAATCCGATTTAAGAAGAAATTGAAGGAAGTCAAGCAAAGTAAAGTTTTGGGAATGGCGCATCTGGTGGCTTGAAATTAATAATATATATGATTTGAAAATAATAAATTTATTAGATTTTAAAGATCCCAGCTTACAAAGCACATTCACTATCTGCAGACAATCATGGGGATTTTATGACATTGCTGTCTGTATTTCTGTTGATTGGTTATGGATGAGACTACAAGCAGCTGAAATTTGGGAGAGATTATTACGTGCGGAGTTGATCTGTCTGATTTTTATGAGTGTGAGCAGCAAAAGCACAATTTTGCTGCACAGTAACTCACAAAAACTGGACGTTCCTCCTATCCGGACTCCGCACGTAATAATCTCTCAACATTTGGAATGACAATTCTTGCAAGAACAAATTTCCATTTATAGGAGATCAAATTTATGATAAAGTTAGTAGCTAGAGAATACAGGTATGACAAAGTTGTTCTTATACTAATTGCAATCTATGCTAATACTTCTACTAATCAGTTTTGCTTAAATTTGTATAATTAATTAGTTGGAATTTGATGCTCCTACCATGACAAATTTCAAATTTTTTGTAACTTCCTCTTCATAATAGAATCACAATATATTAATCTTTATTGATAATCTACAATATTCAGACTAGTCTAAACTAGTTTTCTTGTTCAATGTTCACTGTTTTCCGATACCAGAAGGAAGAGCTGACTTCTCCTAAGAATCTTTCATTGAAATTTACGAATACGAACAGGGTAGAATTGAAGAACATAACTGTGATTGAATCTGTCTATAAATAAGTAAAAGCATAAGAATTCCATAGCTTCAATAGGAAAAAGGAGAGACCTTTACAAATCCTACTAATAAAAGAAACAGATACAAGGAAGATGAGCCTCCAACCTTATCGAGATCATCTTCTACCCGTTGATGAAATTGTTGTTTCCGTTCTCGGCTGAATGTTGGTGGCCACGCCGGCTATGGTGGAGGTAGTTATTACTACTAACGCCGCCACTACATCCTCCTCCAACACTAGAATGTGGAAGGTGGCGTCTAAGCTGGGAAAGCTCCATTTGGCTTTTCATAAAAAATTGCATCCTCTGCTTCTCGAGCTCTCTGGTAAACCCTAGCCTCTACTTCTCCATCTCCATTGTTTGTTGCAGCTTTAAGCTCTCAACTCTCTGGTAAACCTCTCCAAACTTCAGAATTGCCTGCATCAACACTTTCATCCCCACTATAACAGCTCGTTTTCACCGTATATTAGACGGCGCTGTATCTGGCGTCACCGACGGGAGGCTGTCGGAGGTGGAGGAAGTGGGGGCCGGCGGCAATAGCAGCGAGGAGGCCTTCCTCTTCATCGACATGCTAGTTCGTTGCTTCTGAGGGAACTAGGAGCGTGCGATCGTCGCCACCGCAGCCGGAGATGGTTGTTTGGCGGGGGCGGCGGAAGGTGGGGTCTTCATGATGAGGCCGAGGAGGATGTCAAGGCGGTCAAAGAAAGGCCAGGAGGAGGAGAAGGATAGGCCGGTACCGGCGGCGGCGGAGATATTAGATTTCTCGATCTTGTATTTCTTCTTAAGCGTATCAATGCGATTCTTACACTGGACATCGGTTTTGAGAGGTTTGGTATAGTCGTCGTGGCAGCTGACGACTTCGGCAACCTCCTGCCAGTGTTTCTGCTTGAGATTGCCACCGCTGAGCTCCAGGAAATGCTCACCCCACGCATCGATTAGGGCTGAGGTGGCGCCCTCACTCCAGCAATCCTCGCGGCCTCCGCCGGAGGAACCCGGCCGGGGCTGGATGGGGAGGGCTAAGGTTAGGGTTTGGTGGCGTGGGGCAGGAGTGGCGATGGTAACGGAGTCGGAGGAGTGTGCATTCGTCGGCGGCGGAAGAGAAACAGATGGGTGGACTACGTAGATTGTTGTCTATTGTGGGGAGGTGGAGGAAGAGCGGTCAGAAGAGGACGGAGAGTCATCGTCGTCGTCCATAAGCTGAGGCGAGTGAATCGGGGCACACATATTTGGAAGGCGGCAGCAGCGGCGGCGGATGGAGAGATTGAGGGATTTGGGAGAAGGAAGGATGTGTAGAGAGAATGAGAGAGTGGAGGCAGGGGAGGAAGAGGGAGAACAGAGGAATATGGAAGGACATCGGGAGGGGTTTAGGGGCTTTTTGGTATGTAGAATTAGGAGGGTAAAGTAATTTATTTATATGTATTTTATAAATTAGGTCGTTTGGTTGATTTTGAGCGGAACGTAAAGAAAACATTCGAAGCATCAGTGGTGTATTGCGACTGGTCGTCGTGCGACTTTGAAACCCGCTCAAAACAAAAAAGCATCATGGAAGATTGGAGGGAGATCACTCCCTTGCCACACAACCACCATGATTTCTGAGCTTTCGGTTGGAGATTCGCCTATCATTCTGTCCATCCATTAGTCAGAGTTGAACTCAGAGATTCTAAAGGGGGCATGGTCAATATGAGTCGGCGGCGGCAAGCCGAGCACACCGGAGGCAAAGGGGTCGTGGAAAGTAGACTCGAGCAAGACGAAAGGGAAGTGATCTCGGATTGGTGGATTTTGGTGGTGTTGGTTTCCCCACTATGGCGAAACGGCGGCGAAGGGGTCGCCATCACTGGATTTTATTTTCTTGCAACCAAACAACCCCTTAGTGGGATTTGCAGACCGCCGACTGAAAGTTGAGGGGATATACCAACCGTTAAAATTAAATTTGATATATTATGATATATGTTTTTTGAGAGAGTTACTTACATTACAATATAATATTTATATATTTATATTTATTTAGAGAATAGTTTAATATTTAAGAAAAAATATATATAACATTTGAAATTATTCTAATATATAATAAACATCAAAATTTATTTTTATTAAAATTTTTATATCATTCATTATTGTCATCACTCAATATTAAAATCTTGATAATATAAATAACAAAGAATCAATGTGGAAGATGCAATATGATCTTGTCCAAGAAAAGACTGGCAACCTGTGAAGGACGACTCACTGGTAGAGCTATCAATACGGGTTATCGGGTCAGGTTCGGGTCGAACTTGAACTGACCTGAAGTTAAACGGGTCGACCTGAACCCGACACGTTTAGTTATACGGGTCCACTTGCTGAACCTGGACCCGACCCGCCAACCCGATTTTTTTTAAATAAAACAGAGATATTAACTAAATTAAAAAATTCAAAAAACAATGAAATAATAAATGAATACAATTAAAATTTGATTAATTCAACACATTATAAGAGCATTATTACTTTTTCAATTGTAAATAAACAAAATTTCTAATTTTTATGATACAAGATACATTACAAATTACAAATTTACAATCTACAAATACATTTGCTCAAGCAGTTAGCTTCTTTGTCATTCACTAATTCATCTAATATGGATTATGAAATCTGAACAATGAACATCTCATCAGTCAGCATAATCAATGAACCTGCAATAAAGATTAATTAAATGCCACAAGCTGAAGGAGTCAAGGTCCTTAGGTCCTGAATGCGTTAGGGCTAACCAGCTTAGGCTTTAGGGCCTTAGGCTCAAAATGAACCTAGTGAAAATTGAAGAAGCATCATTTGCAAGTCTACAACAATTTTAAAATTTTGCCCTCCAAGATTACAAATTGGGAATACAAATTTTATAATTTTAGTATCTATTTAGTGAAATAGTATATGCTCAAATAAAAAAAAAAATTCATTTCCTCAATTTGTAACCTGGTTGCAAAACATTTTTATTTATGTATTGCCACTATTCTATAAACTCACAAGGTTCTTCATCATTGCCATATTATAATAAAAAACTAATATCAACAGAATTTTGAAAGACAAGACCAAGTGAGCAACCAGAAAATGCAATTATGCAAGCTGCACTACTACAGGCTTGCAGACAAATATGCAAGCTGCACTGCTGCCCACGGCCCAACGGCCCCAACAATCCAACATAACCATCAGGATTCAGGTAGCAATGGCCCAACATAATCATAGACCTTTTCATATGAATATATAATAAAACATTAAACCCGAATTATAATGTCCAGAAATAAAGTCACATAATCATAATGAAAATGTCCAGAAAAAAAACAGTCCAGCATAATGTCCAGAAAAACACCTCCAATAGGGAGCAACCAAAAAATTTGATGTAACAAGACAAGAAACAAAAGCCACAACCAGAGGTCCAGAAGCGTCTGCTGCATAATGCACAATAGCCAACCAGCCACAGTTGCTGCACATCATGGAAACAACAAGCCAACAACAACAAGAGCAACCATCCATTAGAAGTCCAGAAAAATACTTGTAAGAAGACATGAAAAGAAACCCCATAGTCAAAAGCAGTTGTTGCACAGTAGCTGTTCATTAAAGTCATTATAAATAGAAATTTGAACTAATAATAGTTTTTAAAATGCTTAATTTCTTGACTCATTCACATTGCCCATTTGATTTCCCTCCAAACCAAAGCTAATAATGTTTTCTATCACGGCATCAAGCTCCGTGTCTTATATATATATATATATATTAACAAAACAACAGTTTAGTTGAAATATAAATTTTAACAAAAATTTAACCATCCGTGTACTTGTGTAGTGTGTAGTATGATAATTGACAAATAAATTACCTTGGTCATTGTACAACCAATCCTTTGTGCAAACCAATGCTTCTACAATATCATGTTTCAATACACTTCTATATTGGTCTAGAAGTCTACCACCATTGCTAAAAGTAAATTTCGATGCAACAATAGAGATTAGAATGCACAAAACATCAACAGCCATTCTTGAGACACGAGGAAATCTGAATTGATTTATTTTCCAATATTGCAAAATGTCTAACTCACTATTCTTATCTAGCTTGGGTTCATCCAAATACATCTCAAGCTCTGATTTTCTTGGCATAGTTACCTCCACCTCGAAAGAATCATAATCCTGTATTTTTTTAAGAGTTATATTTGATAAGTTGACATAACATAATATGTTAATAATATGTGAGCTGCCAAATTATACCTATAGAAATTGTGATTTAATGGTGGTAGTTGAATGACTACTTGATGGAGTTTGTCGTGAAGATTGAGATGATTGAGATATAGTGGCTGTTGATGGTTGGTCTTCTACAATTGAATATGATGAATAAAGTGTGGACAACTTAGCCTTAACTTTTATAATTTCAGAATCATAATGATCAGAGTAAAGTCTCTTGTAGCACCACTCAACAAAGTTAAACTTGTACCTTGGATCTATAATCACTGCAACTGTTAAAATAACACTGAAGTCCTACAAATACTTTTCAAACTTAACAAGCATTCCAACAGTCATTCTTCTAGTATACTCCTCCCCACAAGACAATTCATATTTTAATGTGGCATATGCAGTTGATACACATGGGAAATACAAATTTATAGTTGGATACTTTATACCACATAAAGCACAAGTAATTTCATAAAAAATGGGCTAAAAACTTTCATATTCTAACCATTTTCTCCCACTCGCTATTTGAAGGGCAAGACTTGTAGTTGGAATTACTCAACTCCAAATGCATAAAAGCATGTCTGAAGTATATTGCACTATCTAGCATAATGAAAGTAGAATTCCATCTAGTTGGTACGTCTTGCCTCAAACCTTGATTAGTTTCAAGCAAATTTTGTCGTACACAATCCATAAACTTTTATTTTCTTGATTGAGAGCCTTTTACATAATTAATGCTCACCCGAACCTTCATAATAGAGGAATCTATATCCTTCAAACCTTCATGCACAATAAGATTTACTATAAGTGCGCAACATCGCATATGGAAGAATTCACCATTGCATATAAGTGTATTTTGCAAATTCAAATGATTTCGTAAAAAATCAACTGATACAGTATTCGCTAAAGCATTATCTAGAGTAATAATGAAAAGTTTATTATCAAGTTTCCAATCAATCAAAAGCTATTGAAGTTTCTCAAATAATGCTAAGCCATCACGGAGGGGGGGGGGGGGCATATAATCAAAACTTATAATCTTCTTCTATAACATCCAATTATTGTCAATAAAGTATGAAGTTAAACAAATAAAATTATCAGTGTTAATGGAAGTCCACAAATCAGAAGTTAAAGAAACTCTACTCTTACAACTACATAGAAGGGCTTGTATCTATGCTTTCTCCTTAATGAACATTTTCTTACAGTCATTTCATGTTGTATTTCTAGATACAACTTATAAATCAGGACGCAAGTATCGAAGTTATGATCTAACACCAGACCATTCCACATATTGAAAAGGTAGGTCATGCTTAACTATGCATGCAGTAAACAAGCTACGAAATTCATGATAATCAAACTTATTTTCAACCATAGAAATAGAAGTGCTTATGTTACTTTAAAGAATAAGTTAACCAATATCATGGGAGTCCTGCTTCTTACAGTTCTGAATATGATGTCTCAGATTACTTGTACCATTTTTACTATCAAACAAATAAGTTGCCCCACATTTCTTACATTTGCAACGTTATTTGTCATCATTACCAAGTGGCAACATTTCATAATGTCCCCAAACAGTAAAGTTCAACCTCCTCTTTTTTTTTTTCTTCATTTCGAACGGCATTATCACCAACCTCATTCACATCCACATTGTTATACTCATCACTATCACATTCTACGTCATTATCAATAGGTTCTTGATCATTTTTCTCGGAAGGATTACTATCAACAACTGTATTAGAACCCTCCATTTAAATACAAAAAATATACATACTTATGAAATATTTAAATATTTAATCACCAAACACATAATCTACTAAACAAGTAATATTATTATTATAGTAAAAAACTAATAATGTAATATGATGCATCAAAAAATATTGTAGTATAGAATTTAAATAGTAATAGCACAATAACATTAGACTATTATCAAAATTTAACTATTTCAAAAGACAAGAAATAACAGGGAAACAAAATCACATGCTCAAAGGCTTAAAGCCTAACTGGATTACTATCACAGGCCGATCATAGTTCATAGATTCATGATTTGTATTCCAGAACAATAAAACAATTCCATATCAACTGTTTTTAGAAGCTAGATAGCTAGTTAGCAACGGGTCAACAGATTTAACACCAACAGTCCAAGTCCAAGTGTCCAACAATCCAACATAACAACTTAATAAATCACAAATTCACAACAACAATTTCTATTTGTGTAATGACAAAAGAAAAATGAAAACCTAATTTCCCGAGTCCCGACCCGCAGACGGCATTCCGACATATTAGATGTCAAAAGACTCAAAAGTCAAAACTCAAAACTTAATAATATGGTAAACATCATTTCTTTAACGGGTTGACCCGAACCCAACTTTTTCAGTTGGGTTCGGGTCGGGTTTTCGGGTTGGGTCAGTTATTGATAGCCATACTCACTGGTAATTCAATCATCGATGTATATATATATATATATGATATTTATATTTTATGGCGGGGGCACAAATTTAATTTTTCAAAAAATTTCTCAACTTTTTCATCGAGACATGGAACCGACAGAACCAACATAGATAGTTTACAATTTATTTTGTTTTAAAAAGTAAAATTTTAATTACAAGATAATCTAAAACTCATTAAGCAACATGAAATGTGACAAACTATTT